GCACTTAAGCATATGATCGTGAACCACACTTGTCTTGCCAGACTACTCAATTAAAATTAGCTAACTCTTAACAAAAAAAATATTTTAAGTTTGATGATATTTTGCAAAATAGAGGAACACCTTCAATGCTTTTAAAGTCTTTTCGATCTATTTATAACTAGCCCCATTAAGGAAGTATTCTCTGACATTAGGTTTTCATACACCTAGGCTATTACTAGGCTTGACTATCGACTTTCCCTTTATTGGATGCTATTCAATATGCTTCAGGATCAAATTTAACCCGGACTGTTGCATATATAATATATGGAGTATAAACTTTACACAATCATACAAAAAAGTTGTAAAAGGTCTAGAAAAAAGTATTTATCGATTCGTTTTAAGCGCGCTGTGTATATATATATGGACCAGTCCCGGTAAAATTTTATCTTACATATATATTAGCTTCTCTTTGTTGTTTTTTCTTATACTTCATTTTATATACTTTTGTTTTAGTTTTTTTTATATATATTTTAACTTGTCTTATTTTAGAAAACGCAATTACAGCTTCTAATTGTAATAAAATTCAAATTACTCCACCCAACCATTATTGCAGTGTTTTTAAAACTGCATTCATTTCATATAAATTCGTATGAAGTCCGTGCACTCACCTACACGGACCATAAATTTTTTTTTCATAGTTATAAGATAACATAAGATATAACCAGATGATCCAGCTCGCTCACATTAAGCTTCGCAATACGAACGCAATCGATACTTGAACTCATAACGAATGCAATTTTGTGCGACTCGATTGATAATCCAAAGAACAGAGCACAGAGCACAGTAATTTCTAAAACGCACACGCACATATACAAACTCACACACTTCATTACTCCGTATCCGTTTAAATGTCAATAATATTTACAAATATATTTCAAGCTAAATATTTATGAAATTACTCAATTAAGTGAGTACTCACTCGTGTATATTTTTCTCACAACTATCGATGTCATCCAAAAGTTACTGCACAAATGTTATATATAAAATTTACATACGTCTTTTAATTGAAGCCTAAATATTTGAATGAAAAAGTGAATATTCAAAATTCATTATACTCCATGTAATGTGTGTTATTAATTAAGCGAAAAAGATAAAAACAAGTATTAAATGCATTTTTCAAGGCTGCCACAGAGTCTGCATTACTTACATAACTACCATATATACTCGTACTTAATGTTTATTATTGCTAAATTCGAATTGACATTTTATTGTAAACGGCAAACAATTTGAAGTGCACTGTATACTTGTGAAGTAATTATAAGTGAGATGAATTACTGTCCTATGAAGCACGCGGCTAAACATGACTTTGTTTGTACCCTGCAGGAAATTTGAGTAATGCCCAAACAAAAAATTCCAAAAATGTTTAGGTTTAATTTGAATTAATATTTTTATTCTCATTTTGAAATTGAAGAATAATAAATTGGAAAAACTTGGGGAATATAATTACAGCTTGAGTAAATAAAAGTTAAGTAAAATTTTGTTTTTATAACACTTTAATTTATGATTTTTTTCTGAAATTTCGATACAAATAGAAACATTATTTAAAATATATATTTACCATCAATAGATAATATTTATTATAAGGGTCTTTATGGGGCTGCCTACAGTCATTTTTTTTTTCTTTTGGTACTTTAGATTTTTCCAGCAGGGTCTTACATACATACCACACACTATATTAATGTATAATATATATTATATTGTAAATTAAATGTGTTCGAAGCCCGAAATTTGGTAAACACATAAGATACAGGGTGTTATTATATATAATATGAAGAAAAATAATTACATTGTGCTTAATTAAAAAATATTGCAAAATAAAAGCAATAAATATAATTGCAAAGCAAATCAGATTTCGTTAGGTATAAAATTCCGTTAATTTTTTATATGCGAGATGTATACATATGTATATTTATTAAAAAAGAATAAGCGAGAGGAAAAAATTATAAGATTTCATTTATGCTTCTAAATTCATGAAAGATGTATGAGGATTCAAATATATATATTTTTTTTTGGTAATTATAATTTTTTAATATTCTTGCGTGTTTAGTCAATTATATTTAAATGAAAATAGTTTTTTTTATTTATTTTATGCTAGTGTTAATATTTTTTATTAGTATTATTATTTATGTTAAACTTGTAGTTAGTCTTTAATTTTTTTATTGTCATCTAATTTTATCATTTTACTTAATTTATTATTTAAACAAATTTAAATATTTTAATAAAATATATCTTTAAATAATAAGAGTGCTTTAAAATAGAAAGTATTTATTTTAAACACATAAACTTTATTTATTTTTTAATATACTTGTATTTTTTAATGATCTTTTCATTAAAAACTATAAATATAAAAATTATTTATTGACTATTAGTATTACTTGTATTATAATTATTACTTGCTTATTTTTTGTCATCTAATTTTATTATTTTACTTAATTTAATATTAAAAAATATATATATAAATATGTATACATAAATATAAATCAATAAAACATATTTTTAAATAAACATATTGCTTTAAAGTTTATAAAATTTATATTTAAAATAAAAAAAATATTATTTTTGATAATTTTTTCATTGAAAAATTAAAAATATAAAATCTTTATATTTATCTATTTCGTACTAATATTATTATTAGTTTTATAAGTATTATTATCCAATATAAACTATAATTCTTTTAATTATTCTGTTATGTATATTTTGTTCATTTTTTCGTTGCAAATTGATTATTTATTTATAACCATTGTTAATATTTGTACTATTATTGTGATTATTATTGTTTTTATTAAACTTGAGAACAGCTTTTAATATTTTTTTCCATTTAATTTTATTATTATTTTTATTTTAATATATTCAAAAAAGAAAACATGATTATATATACATAAATATAAATGACTAAAATGTATTTATAATTAATTACCTTGCTTTAAAATTGAAAGAATTTATAATCGCAGTTCCAAAATCGGTAGTATTGGAGTAATTTACAAAATAGCGCATTCCACATAAAAAAAAAATTAATTAAAAATAGTTAATAATTTTTTTTCATATAACACGATAGTATGGTTTTTTGTTGGCGATATTTCTTTACAAAATATAAGTTACTGTTTACATTAACATTAAAATTAAATTGAACAAAAAACTTAAGTATACCAAATTTAGTAATAAAGCGAATAATTTAATCCAAAAATTGGTATTAAACTTTAATCAAACATATAATCGATTAACACATACATATACATATGCGCAAAAACATTCACAAACATGAATTAAAAAATTACATAAGTAGCAAATATTTTATACGTGCTTAATTAAAAAGATGTTTACTTACTAAAAAAATAATAGTAATTTAAATGGAAAAATCAAAAATTATTTAAATAATTCCGGTGTTAAGCTCTAAATGTTTTCGCGTAGTAAGTAAATGTACCGTAATAAAAAATAATATAAAAATTCGACTAACGGTAATTGAATTGCACATTTTTGTACCCATATTAGCCCTGGCCCACGATGTTGGACGTAACTAGCAAACCACTTTATTAACGTATACATTAGTAAGTGATAAACTTAATTTACAAAAAAAAAAAAACACATAAAGTAAAAAACTTGAATAAAATCAAATATGCTGCACAATGGAATTAAAATTTTAAACAATCGATTATGTCAGGTCGGCACTGAGCACTGAAACTCCCAATTACGCAACACAAACGACTTGATTGAATCATATTGAAATTGAAAAAATATTGCGCAATTTTACCGACTTAAGTGCCACGCAAATTGCATAATCGATTCGTTAGAGGAATATATACGATCTTCACAAGAAGAACATTAATTAAATTTGTAAAAAAAAAAAATAGAACAACTCGACGTTTTTTGTATTTGTGTGTGTCCAATTAAATCGTAATCGAGCAAATTAAAAGTAAAATGATTTCACATTTTTTCATGCATAATAAAACGCATAAGTATTTACATTCATATACATATATGTATAGAAATTAAGTAAAAAAAATGTTAAGAAACTAAATGATGAATGATAAATGAGAAAAAGTAAGATGAAAAACTAAATAAAAATAAAATTTATATTTACACAGAAATACATGCAGATGTATAATTGTCGTTCCAGAAACAAAACATTTTTCAAACTAACGGTGTTTACTAAATATATTAAAATATTCAAATACATAACAGACTCGCATTATTTGTACAGAATGAAAATGTAAGGAATTAAAGTGTTGCAAATTGAGTGAAGCGGAAAGATATTTCAATATGCAAGTACTGTAGCACAAAAATTTAAAATATGTACTTATAACGGAAAACTGGAAACTGTAGCATACATATTTTTGCAGTTCTCACTGAGAATATATAGTTAGTTTGATTGGTTAGAACTAGAAGCAAAGAAGAGAAATGTAAATTGTTAAATGAATATATACTTATGTACATCAATGTATTTATTATTTGAATTTAATTGAAAATAAACAAAAACCCATAACCGCATTATTTTTTCTAAGTAAAATCGTGAAAATAAACTTCAAAATTTAAGAGAAAGTTAGTTTTAATAAATAGAAGATGATTATGGTAAGTAAAATACTATGTATAAATGATTAAATAATATTATGTCATAACCATTTTTTAAATACCAACCGTAGATTACCTGTAAGTAGTTCAAAACTGTGCAAGAAATCACTCATAGATGGCGCGCTAAAGGTGTCATAAGCAACAATATAAAGCTATTTGAAGCAACGAGACAACCAGTAGGTCATAAAATGTCAAATCACTGAATGAAATTATATAAATAAATAAATATGTAATACTGTAGTATTTTTCTTTCAAATACTCAAATAACCATTAAATACTGCACCTATGAAATATTTTGTCATAAACAACAAATTTTTATCTTTAAGCAACTCTGTTATTCGTCAATTTGACATTTCACACTTTCTGCCCATGGACAGCACGAATTACTGTGAAAACAACAAAATATTCGTCAGCAATGTGAAATGTCAAAGCTAGTGAAAATCGGAAAGCAAAGATTCATTGGTGCTGCAGAAGTTTTATAATTTATTATAAATAGTTAAACGAAATACAATTAAGTATTTGAAACTAAAAAAATAGGCAATAATAGTAAGGCTATACGCTTCCATATTTCATAACAACACACAGAGGCGAATATATTATGGTAAGTGATTAGCGTTGATTATCAAGTAGCTTCACTTTCAATAGAAAGGCGGCGGAGGTTGAGGCAATTAAAATGTTATGAAAAAAGCAGTGATTCGGAAGTTGCATTTACTTAAAAAGTAAAAAAAAAACTTTATAATTGTGTGCTGTGAATACATTAAACGGAGTGCCGGAAGAAGTGTTGCTGATTAAGTATTTCTAAAAGGTGTTAACCAACACCCACCTGCACTTAATACAATTCATCCTCCATAGAATATGTTGAGTGCTGATCAGAACGTATTAGATAAAGTCTAAAGCTTTTAAGAAAGAGCTATCTAAATTTACCTTATATACAAAAACATAATTTTTTTTCCGCAAAAGTTTACAATTCTTCAACACATTTGAAAAGTATCACATATAACGGAAAACTTTGCATTCACAAACAAAATATCCCAATAAACACACATATCCAGTAAGACAATTTTAGAAACCACAACTGGCACAACGGCAGTCGGCATGTATCCATGGAATTCAACTTCTTACAGCCCAAGTGGCGGTGGTGGTGTCAGTGGCCGCAATGGCGAACGCCGCATGGTAAATGATACAAATGCAAATGCACACGTATATCTTATACAGTAAATTGCAAAAGTACCAACACTTATTGGCTAACTAGAATACACCCACATTCAACAAACCCCTACTATACTCCTAACACCTTTTCATTCGCAACACAAACCTTTCGTTATTTGGTTCATGCTCAGTTTATACTATAACTAACTTGTAGGTTTTGTGTATGTTGCCTTATGCGCTGGAAAAGTAATTTTAACTACGTACAACACAGCAGTGGGTTTATGTTTGCAGTAATTTTGTGTTTGTGTTGTATGTTCCTCTGATTTATTGTGGGAAAAATTGTTGTGCTGAAAATGTATTGTCTTAACAGTCGTTGATAAGTGTCAAATAAGTGCATTGCGTTATACAAGTATTGGCTTGTACCGACTACAATAATTTTCTTATTTGCGCTGCTTAAGCAAAATCGCTCAGTAGAAACGATACATATTTGTACATGTCTCATAACCCTTTTATTTACTTTCATTTTCATGCAGTTTGGCATAAATATACTGTAAATGTGCAACTACTATACGCAAAAAATTCTTCTTCAAAATTTTGAATACAAGCAAATGTTTTATATGAAAAACTGATTGTGATTTATATATATATGTACATATATATTTTTTTTTAGATTTCTTTTATTTATCAATTTTGATGAAATTTATGTTGTGCATCAACTTTGTTAGTATACACCCCCTACAAAGCGCGAATTGACTATAATATTTAAGCAAAAAGTGTTTGTGTTAAGTAATATTAAAATGTAGCCATTTTCCAAATATATCAAAAACGCTACTACAAATTTTGTCCATTCACCGCCCCCCAAGTCATTGCATATAATATTTTAATATTAAATTTCATTTCTATTTTCATATCTTCTAATAATTTAATTTTAATATAATTGTTTCTATAAAAATCGTGCTTATTTTTCCTTCCAAAAATTACTAATAAAGTTAAATATTATTTCCCACATCTCCACCACTTTAATGGCAATAAGCGTGCTTATCATTGTCGTCTCGTTATTTACCTTTATATGTTTGTAAAATTTTGTGTATATTCGTAAATGTTAGGAAATATATACATACGTACATTTGTATATTCACTTATTGTAGTTGTGGTTATGGAAAGAAATTCACAAGTTAATTCGTGTGTGTGAATATATATGTATATTGTGTTTTTTTTTTTTTTTGATATTTTTTACATTTATACTAATTGGTGTTGCCTTCTATTCGTCGCCGTTGTCAAATTGCACTTCTGCTCCGGGTCCATATCAACATTTGCTATGTAGGAACTTTTGTTTTGTGTGTGTGTTTATATGTAGCGAGCCTTTATTACAAATAAATTTATGCGATATGCATACGTATTTATGTATGTATTTGCATATAGATACGTTTGTGGGGCTCTATCGTTCGTTGTTGACTCTTGTTCAATTGTTATCAAGACGCAAATCATAATTGAAATAAGAATGCAACTACGCTAAATAATGTTGTAGAAGATGGCAACGCGACTTGTGTCTTTATACCTGCATTTACATTCTGCTGCTCATATTAATATGCACTCTATTTAATATTTGCCATAAATAAATACAAAATTGCAGACCATGCCGAGTGGTTTAGACGATCAAGAAAAGCTGTTAGCTGAAGCTATTGGCACAGCGCGAAAACAGGCATTTCAGATGAATCACTTCTTGGACAAGGATCGCATTTTGGATGCACTCAAATGTGCCAGCACAATGTTAAGCGAATTACGCACATCAATGCTATCGCCGAAGAGCTACTACGAATTATGTGAGTATGCCGTGCACTTGCTACTAATAGTGCCACAAATTAAAATTTTATATATACATATATATAAATAACATAATCCATTACCAATCTAGATATGGCCATCACAGATGAGCTCTGCCACTTAGAATTGTATCTGAGCGAGAAGAGCAACAAGGAGACAGATTTCTATGAACTTGTGCAGTATTCGCATACAATTGTGCCGCGTCTTTATCTGCTCATAACCGTTGGCATTGTGTACATCAAAAAGGACTCGACGCTGAAACGCAGCATACTCAAAGATTTGGTGGAAATGTGTCGTGGCGTGCAACATCCCTTACGTGGTCTATTCTTGCGTAACTATCTGTTGCAATGCACACGCAATATACTGCCCGATGTGCTGGTTGCGGAAAATGAACACGAGGGCAATATATTAGATGCCATCGAATTCGTTTTGACAAATTTCGCAGAGATGAATAAACTTTGGGTGCGTATGCAACATCAGGGTCACTCTAGCGAAAAGTCGCGACGCGAGAAGGAACGTGAAGAGCTGAAGATATTAGTGGGCACCAATTTGGTGCGTCTTTCACAATTGGAATCTGCCACATTGGCACACTATCAACGTTCCATATTGCCTGGTATTTTAGAGCAAGTTGTCAGCTGCCGTGACGCCATTGCGCAAGAGTACCTAATGGAGTGTATTATACAAGTATTCCCTGATGAATTCCATCTGCAAACATTGGATCCGTTCCTGAAGTCTTGCGCACAGTTGGAAACTGGTGTGAATGTTAAAAATATTATAATATCATTAATTGATCGCTTGGCAGCGTACAACCAGAGAAGTGGCAAGGTTGGCAAAATTATTGCGAAACCATTTATATGCATTATATAATTCAATTAAACTACTTTTACAGACCAGCGGCACAGATATTGAGTCCATTATTCCAGCTGAGGTGGAGCTGTTTGAGGTGTTCAGCATTCAAGTGGCAAACATTGTACAGGTATGCATTTAATTTTTCTTTACCTCTTTTTCATAACGGTATATTAAACCTTTTATACACCATTTTCTTAGAAGCGCATCGATATGCCGTTGGAGGATACGATATCTCTGCAGATTGCGTTGCTGAGTCTGGCGCAAAAAGTTTACCCCGATCGCATTGATTATGTGGATAAAGTGCTCGGTACTACTACACAAATTTTGGAAAGCCTTGAAATGAACAAGTTAGTTGCATTTATTAAAAAAAATTATAAATTATACAATAAAATTTTCTTACTAAATAATTATATTTTCCAAACTTGCAGCATTTCACATTTTCTATCGGTGAATCAGGAATTGTCACGCCTTCTACGCATTTGCATCGATTTCTACAACAACGCATTAACTGTTATACAACTGAAGAATTTCACACCACTGCTAGACAAATTCGACTATATTTCACGAAAGTCATTGGCCCTCTATTTGGTTATGAATATACTCGAGTTTGAAACGCTTATACCAACAGCTGAACAAGCTGAACATGTACTGACTATAATCGCGCCGCTAATCAAAGATGAAGAGCTGCCTTTGGGACCGGATGGTAAACCCGTGTCACCGCCTGCAAACGGTAATAATGTCGATCCTGAAGAATTCGGCGAAGAACAAGGCATTGTTGCACGGTAAAAATTTCACACTTCAACATTATGTAAATTATAATAACAATTATTTTCACACACACACAGCTTCATACACTACATGAGGGCCGATGAACCCGACATGCAATATAAAATCCTACAAACGTCACGCAAGCATCTGGGTGTCGGTGGGCCACAACGTATAAAACACGTGCTACCACCACTCATCTTCTCCGCCTACCAATTGGCCTACAAATATCGTGCTATTTCGGAAGATGACGAAAATTGGGATAAGAAATGTCAGAAGATACTACAATACTGCCACAGCACAATTGCGGCGATAGCAAAAGCCGATATGGCGGATTTAGCTTTGCGTTTGTATCTGCAAGGTGCGCTAGTCATCGATGAAATCGGCTATTCGAATCACGAAACAGTGGCTTATGAGTTTATGACGCAAGCATTCTCACTCTACGAAGATGAAATATCCGATTCGAAAGCGCAGCTGGCCGCCATCATGTTGATCATGTCCACATTTGAGCAAATGTCATGTTTCAGCGAGGAGAACGCCGAGCCGTTGCGCACGAATTGTGCGCTCGCCGCTTCCAAGCTGCTAAAGAAACCCGATCAATGTCGCGGTGTGGTGGCATGTGCTGCACTCTTCTGGAGTGGCAAGTAAGTGCAAAGACGATGTGAAAGCAACAAATAAAGCTGCTTTATACTAAATTACTTTCATTTGCTTTGCAGGAAAAACGCTGGCGAAATGCGTGATGAGAAGCGCACGCTCGAATGCTTGAAGAAGGGCGCACGCATAATTGCGCATGTGAGTACAAACCATAAAATCATAATTTTTCGCATAAAAACAACATATAACTGTATGCAAATTTTCAGTGCTTGGACGTTGGCGTACAAGTACAGCTATATGTCGAATTGTTAAATCACTATCTCTTCTATTTTGAGCGTGGCAATTCACTAATCACCGTGGCAATGTTGAATCAGGTGTGTTAAGTATATAAAATATGCATTTTTAATTATTAATATACTTGCTTAACAATTTTTCTACAGCTCATCGCTAAAATCAATGAAGATCTACCGAATCTGGAGCCCACTGAGGAGACGAAACAAATCGAAATGCATTACAAGAATACGTTAGCGCATATTAAGAGTCGCATGGAGTCGAACGATGCCGGTTTGGAGGTTTCATTTGCGGGCATATCCATCAATTAGTGAAAAAAAGTTACTTTTAAATTTACTTAAAGCGCATTGTGTTGTTGTACAGCTTGCGTTCGCACCATTAATATTTTAATTTGCATTATCTTTACACGCATATTTATAAAGATTGAGTGAAAGTAACCAGTACGTACATATATACATGCATACAAAATATGAAGCACCAGCCCACAAGCACTTCTCGAACAATATGTAAAACCCGGTCAGACTAAATATATTATATTTTTTTTTTATATAAGTTGCTAATTAATTTGTCTACTTTTGCTGCTTATTATACACTTTTTATACAACTTAACTAAAGTTCTAAAAGCAAGATATTATTATGATCAATTAACATTAATATCGTTGTATGAACAGATTGCAGCTGTAGCTGGTTGTTTCCCATATCAAATTGTATCAAATTCCATTTATTATAAATTTATTGGAAGACTATTTTTATTATTACTATTATTATTATTGTATTGATAAACTGTTATGTTGCTGTCTTCATTATCGTTAAAATGACGCCCATTTATTCTCAATTTCTATAAACATCTGTATGTTTCATATCCGGCATTGCTATTTATATATTTTCAACTCCACAAGCCTATCCAAAGTTTTGTTTAAAAAGCAACAAAATATATTCTTGAGCGCATTATCTTTTAATTAGTATTATCTTTATTGATAAAAGCAAGCAATGGACAAAAAAAAAACAAGAGTACTGGACAAAATGCGATATATGTTATGTAAAAGCAGAGCAACAATACTTTTTGGTTTGCAAGCGTGCTGAAAGCGCGCACCAACCATCCATTCATTATGTCAATATGACTTAAAAAAAAAACTAAAAACTAAAAAAAATTATATATATAAAGTAGATACACTGAAATTAGTGTTAAAAAGAGATATTTGCTGATTATGATAAATTCTTAGTAATGGAAAAATAAAAATTGAGATAAAAAAGTTTTAGAAAAAATTGTATTTGTATTTTCTCCTCTTATATGTTATAAAATTGGTAAGTAATTTTTTTAATCATTAATTTTGTTTTAATTTTCTGATTTTTTTTTTAATTATTTAATATTTTTGTTAATAATATACTTTATTATTTATTATTTTTTTAATTTTCTGATTTGTCAATTTAATTTGTTTACACCATCTAGTTTATTATTTAATTTTTGGTAATAATTTTTTTATATATTTTTTGTTTTTTTAACAATTTATTTATTTTATTTAATATAATATATATATATTATTTTTTTATGATTAATTTTTTTAAATTTAATTTTTTTTATTATATAATATAATTTTTTCAATTTAAATTTCTTATAATTAATAAAAAATAAAACATTATGAAAATCATGTTTAAATTATTTTAAAAAAATTCTTAAGATTTTCCCACAAATGGTGCGCAATTTAAACGCCCTCACTGGTGCCAGGTGAAAAATTTAGCGCATTCACGCTAACTCCACAAAACACCAGGCGCACAGCATGCACTAGCAAGCCGCCAAATTTTTCTTATTGCTATTTCATTCATTCACTCACACACATACTACCTTCCAGGCACCGGCTCACTCACGCGCAGCCATCCACCAATCACAGCACAGCTTATGGCGTCGCTGCTCACAAGCCGCTCAGGCGCTCATACATTTGACAGAAGTGTTTGTGTATGCAGCAGCACATAGCGCGGCATTCTTGTTGCTTACTTGTGCGTGCTGTTCGCCTGGTATTTTGTGAGTCTTGCGGTTGTGGACAAATTGTTGAATTTGCCGTGCGCGCTAGTACACTGCGGAAAATTAATGTGTTCATTGTAAATTTAGAATTAATTAATTTTGTTAAGAAAAATATTTATTTCATAAGTTGTTTATGGTAATTTTGTTTTGTTGGTATGGTTTAAAAATACTAAAATTGTATACGCACAACAGAAATTTTAGTTATTTAGTAGAAAAAGTGAAAAAGCAAATAATTAATTTTTGTAATAGTTATTTTCATAAAAGCTTTTATTTTAATTGTTTTTTTTTTTGTTATTGTTACTGTTTATTTCTTATTTATTTTTGTTATACAAAATATAACAAATAAGTTCATACAATTTTTTTTCGTTGTTGCAACTTTTTATTTTCATATGTTAATATTATTTTAAGTGTTTTATTATATTATATTCGTTTTTTCACCAAAAAATTTTGGCGTTATAAAAAAATTATTAATATTTTTTTTACTTTAAAATATTTTACTTTTATTTTATTTATTATGTTTTTTATTAGTTGAAATACTCATTTTTTTTGCTATAATTAAATAAAATATTTTTAAATCGTTATAAAAAAGTATGTTGTTGTATTTATTACGTTACATTAAAGATTTTTTGTTAGTCATATTACTTTGTAATTTATAGTTTTTCGGCAAAAATAAATTTAAATAAAGTTAGTAATTCAAAAAAATATTTAAACTATAAATATATCAAAGTTCAATTAAAAAATGAAAATAATTTTTTTTATTAAATTTCGTTGTTTATTTTAAAAGAAAAATAATAATTTTTAGTTTTGTTTTTTTAACAGAGAGTCTTTATCTTTTAGTTAGCAAATAATTAAAAAAAATAGTGTTTGAGTAAAAAAATTGAAAGTAAAAAAAAAAATAAATATAATCTAATATTTTTTTAATTATTGTTATTTAATTTTATGTTAAAATATAAAAAACAAAATTATTTTAATTGATAAATTAAATTGTTTGGTATATTTTGTTAATAATAATGAGAGAAAATGTTTTTCATTTATTTTATTTTATTTTTTTCAAATTACTAGCACTATTTATTTATGAAAAAAAATCTGGGTTGCAAATAATGCATTAAATTTGCATTAAAAATCTTTTTTTTTTCCAAATACCATTTTTTTTTATTTTCTTCCACACACCGGATCGCAAAAAAAAATTTAATCCAATGAACCGTATTTAAAAACAAAAAAAGTTTTAATCGCAGAAACCGAGTAAAATTTTCTTTTTAACTTAATTTCACCGGATTTTTAATCTAGTTTGTGGGATTAAACATTTTTTTTATTTTGTAATTCGGTTTGTTGGATTAAAAATTGTTTGTTTGTTTTTTTTTCAACTATCGGATTGAAAAATAAAAATCAACTATCGTATTGAAAAATAAAGAAGAAAAATTTTTATCCCAAGCCAAATTGAAAATTAAGAAAAGAAACTGTTTGAGAATTTACATTTCTTCGCGTTTGCGTACTTCTTTCAAATTAAAAATTAATTTAATTTTTAATCCCAAATAACTTGTATTCAAAAGTAAATTGCCACATCGGGATTAAAAAATTTAAATATCATGTTTAAACCCAAATTTTTAAATTTAAAAAAATCGTTACCCTTAAAAAATAATTTTATGAAAAATATTTTTAAAAAATAATTTTTATTTTTATTTATATTTTAAATTTAATTAAATTAAATGGTTTTCATATATTGATATTTTGAATAGTTTTTTTTTATCAATGAAAAGTACTTACTATTTTCGATTTAATTTGATCAAACAACTTCAGTATAGGTACTTCTACATAAAGTAGTCGGTTTTTTATGCTATTTAAACATTTCTGTTCAAAATAATATATGTCTTCCACAATTACATGTTTTGGATAAAAAATTATTTCTGAACAAATTTTTCATACGTTTTATTTAACAAAAAAAAAAATAGCCCTCTGAAAAAATAGCTTTTTGGAATAGTTTATAATAAAAACTTGCCTTGAATTTTCCATTAGGAACGCGAAGCACATATCCTCTCCTCTCGCTAGCGGTTACTTTCCTAATAAACCAATTAACTCAAAATCACCACAAAATCAAGTAAACTTCTATAATTGGTTTATCAAGTGAGTTCTTTATTTATATTAAATACTCGTCGATTTTTTTTTATTATTATATTTTAGTAATACAGTAGTTGTAATATTCTATTATATTTTAGTAATACAGTAGTTGTAATATTCGCTTAAAGCTGTGGCTTGCATTTACAATGAGTACATTTGTACACACTATTACATACGAAAAACACAAATATTTGAAAATATACACATATATGCATTTTTATTAAAGTATAGTGTGTAGCGTTTAAAATTAAAAATTATAATTAACTTAAATATTAATTAATTAATTAATTGCAAAATTATTAAATAAATCATTATAATTAAAACTACAATAATTTTCCAAAATTGCTGAGCAGTAAATTTTTGAAAAAAAAATATAATAAAAAATACTTAATGTAAATGTAATTATATTAAATAATTAAACAATTGTTTAGTGCTTTAAAACTACATACATACATAAAGATTACGCAGTTATTGGCAGTGGACGTTGACCACTTTTTTGATAATTGGTGTTTGGTGTTTTTTATTTATTCATTTATGCAGTGTTCGTTTGCGTACATTTTTGGTCTCAAAAAGTTACCGGGCAGTTTAATTATAAATAAATATTAAAAGCAAATTTAATAATAACGAAAAATATTAATAAAATTGAAAAATAAAAGAATACAAAATAAAAAATTTAAATATAAAAATAAATATTACAAATATAAATATAAAAAAAATAAATAAGTAAAAGACAAAAATTAAAATTAAAATAAAAAAAATTAAATTAAATTAAAAATAAAAAAAATATGAAAAAAACGTTCAAGCAAATTAAATTTGTTTTTTTTTTTGTATAAAGAAAAAAGTATTTAAATTACTAAAACAAAAATATATACGAACAGTCGAAGCTAAAAATTAAACATATAAAAATGTGAAAAGCGAGCTTTAAATAAAATTAAAAGAAAAAGCAAAAAAATATAATTTTCGCTTTTTAACTATATAAGACACAAAGGTTTAAAAATATATATACATATATATAATATATATTTTCAATCACAAAAACAGTTGCAGTTGCTAAATTTACTTAGAGCTAGAAAAGTTTTGAATACCATTAGAGTTTTCTTCTTAATTCTACAGTGAGCGACTAAAGTTCTGCAGCTAAACAAAACAATCCGATTCTAAATATGTTTGTTGACTTTTAATATAGTTTATAAAAAAAATTTGTTTATCAAAAAAATTTTGCTTGAGCATTAAACTTCCCTAATTTTTAGTGTTTAATTAGCAATTAAAATGTAATTGGAAAAGTTCACGAGATTATTTTTTCTTTGTTTGCAATTCTCACACGATCACGCTTTGGCGCACTCTCATACGCTTCAAGTGGATTTAAAGTAGTTGTAAACATTTGGCCAAGCGGCGAGAACATACTCCTCAATGCCGCATTCGTTGTTGCCGCGCGCAATACGGAAATAACCGTGTTCACCCCACCAGGGACCCCACGAGTTGGCGGCGATCTGTGGTGAGCAATTTCAAAACAAGTTACCATATTTACAGTTATTTAGAGTTTACGCACAATATATTGGTTTTTTGTGTGAAAAACAGCAAGCAAAAAACTTACCCAATACTTGACGCCATCATGCTCCTCACCCCAACCGACCAATTTTACCGAGTGGAAACCAGTCGGACTGCTGCGACTGGCTGCGGTATGCCGGTATACACCACCCGAATAGGCGAAGAAATCGCGATAAATGCGCATGGTCGCCTGCACCGGACCCGAATGGAAGATTTCGGCCATAATATCGGTTTCATTGTTCAGCGAATATGCGGGTCCAACTGTGTAGAATTCATCGCGATCGGTGCGTGTTGTGGGGCGACAGCCGTACGAGCTCAGCAAACGACGGGAACCGTGAGTTATTTTGCAGACGTCACGGCGTGCGGAGTATGGGTAGCACTCTTCTGACAAGACACTGCATAGAAAATATAATTATTGTAAGTATTAGGGTTCTACATTTGATAATTTAGATAGAATAAGAACTTACCCCTGTTTATGCAGGAAACGCCAGGCGGCATCCAAATGACCACCGTTGCAACCCTGTTGTCTGCGTGTGCACGACAAAATGTTCTGTGGCGATAGCTGCACAACTTCTTTACCCTGCGATTGAATGGCAAAACGATCTGAAGCGACCGATGTCGTAGAAAGCACCCAAGATGAGCCGCACCAGCCTACAAAAGCAATAGGGGAAGGGAAATTTGCCAATTATTAAATAAGCTCATATTCGATAGCAACTCATTAACCCACCTTGATCTGGCACATCGCTTACATATTTACTCCAACGATCCACGGCATTGAATTGACGTGGCAAAGCACTCGCTTTGTTGCTTAAGCGTGTCATCGCTTTGACGCGGAATGTAGGCTCCATTGTGCCTAGACGTAATGTCAGACCATCGGCGTATTTACGTCCCCACCATTCACCATATTTGCGTGCCGACCAACCTAACTGACGTATGGAGTTCACGTTGTTCACCAAATTGTCATCGGTTAGACAGAGATCGCGATCACACTCTACGCGTCCACCGTCCAGGCAACGACACTCATTGCAATTATCCATTGTACTATTGTATTTGCTAAAGTAGATGCCATTGTGGTAGCAACGCATTATCGGGCGTGGAGCGCCCAAACAGAATGAATGGTAATCGGGACAGCAATCCGCGGAACGATCGCGATCGCAGAACTCATCACAATAGCAGAGTGTGGCTGTTGGTTAGACAAATAAATATAATATTAAGTGCAGTTTGAAAAATCAGTTTCTTGTTTTTGAAGCCGCAAATTTTATCGGTGTATCGTATGTTTATGGCCTGACCTCAGTAAATTTTAATAATAGACAATGATGCACTATGAGGACATATTTTATATACAAACTACTTAAAGAGAAAACGATACACTAATCTTACAGATCTACCAACTTTTCGATACAATTTTGTAGAACGATTGGTCTTTTGTTCAAAATAGAGCTCGGCGATTTACAAGCATATACAGCGACCATTCTCTAAAGGTCTGAGAACAGGAAAAAATTTGAAGAATGGATACGTAAAAAATTCTAAGCCTAATTTATGCAATTTAATCACCGATTTGTGACACGTTTAATCGGTCGATTATGAGCTTGACCATTCTTTTAAGGTCTGAAGATACGAAAAAGGCAATTGAGAGTAGATCCGAAGAATACGATGAATCCGTAAACAACTTGAAGTGTAATTCATGTCATTTTCGTTTTTAAAGTTGTGGGACAAGTTCTATTAGTCAAATATGAAATACGCGCGGCACCTACTTTTCGACGTACTTTAGGATCACAAATTTTAGTGAACGATAGTTTAGCCAATTTGGCTGTAAGTCTTTTGGGCATCTGCTCGGTTCTCGGTGGTTGGAATTTAGTCAGTCACGAATGTTTACTTCGCTTGCAACGCTTGAAATATAATACTATATCTCACGAAACAATTGCAAAACGTTTGGATTCAATTCTAGTGATTTCCAGTCTAACGAAAAAATACAAACTTTAGTTATTAGAACGAGATATGGGTCAGGAATAGCGCTTAACAGGTGATTTATACTAAAAATCTTTTGACAACAGTCTACATTACCGGAATGGACTTGGATTTATATCCGTTCAACAACACAGCGAACTATTGAATGACTAACCNAATGATTAAAAAAAGTATGACAAACTTATACGCTCGCCGCGATGGTACGATATGATTACCCACCGAATGTATTTAATATAATGTAAGCTCGGACAACTTAGCAAAAGGTATTAGCCGTCCATATAAGTATCTAAAAACCTGTGATATATGCCCACCACTTAAACAGTATATTAAAATATAAAAACATGCAAAATACTTACTTGAAATGGGCATGGCACAACCATCTTCCCTGTTTTTACAACAAATATTCTTCGCAGCACAATAAGGGCCAGGGAAATCTAGTTCTAATGTGTTATCGTAGGCCACTACTGCGCCAAGTAGTGTGAAGGCAGTGAGCAACTTCAAGGCGGTGATCGCCTTACCAAATTTACGATTCATATTTCAATAATTTATCTAAAGGCTGAAAAGAGAAAGCGAAAGTTGAAATCAGTTAATAAGTCTTTGGAATTGTTAAGAATAAAAATTAAAAAAATATATGTATAAGATAATTAAATTTTATAAGATCTGGCATATATATATATTTATTTATTTATTTATTATATGAAAAATAATAATACAATTATTATTTTACAAAGTAAAAGGAGCACTAGCTTCAGAGGCTTTCAGCTCGATATATATATATTTATGTACAATTGCACGCATATTTATATGTTTGCAAATAATTCGTTGAACCTGCGTACTTAATTCATTATTTAATTTATTGCATTACTGTTAACCCAATTTTGCTTCAGGATGAGCTCATTCCGCAAATGTAAATATATATGCATATAGATATGGTATTTACATGTAAACATATATTTGGTCTGATGATCACATACTATGGAATCAGAAACTTTGTAATCTTTTCTTTTCGCTATTTACCTACAATTCTTGTTACCCTGGTTGTAATCTTCGCTGTAGCACAGTTTTTTAATATCAGAAAACAATGTAAAAAAAATTATATTGAAACAGAAAGAAACACTCCCTATGGAAACAAAAAACAAAAAACTAAACTAAAGATAAGGAAGGAAGAGCTTAATTCAGGCGGAACCGACGAGAAATATCACACATATATATTTTAAATGAAACCGAATTTCAACTATCTGTAAGTAGGATCAATAAAAAAATTTTTTTTAGTTGGTACATTTTTTTATGATCTTGTGAAGTTTTACGTTTATATGTCAATTAGTGTGTGTGTTGACAGCTGTATGTTTAATATGCGAGGTTTTTCAGGCGATTTTCACGATGAAAAAAAATTAACAACGAGCTTGCTTAAAAGTTTGTGTTTCCAATGGAATCAAGGCTACGGAATCGTTAAAAATGTTGAAGAAGTGTTTTGAGAATCCCACTTTATCACGACGACAAGTAATTTAGAGTGGCGTAAAGCATTCAGTGAAGATTGTGAAATCATTGAAAACTGGCCTCATCCAAGTCGTCTACCCACATCTGTTAATGACGATAACATCGAAAAAGTTAAAAAAATAGTCTTGAAAATCGTTGGCACCAGACGGATAGCAGAGTATGTAAAGATCTCTTATAGATTAACTCAACATTGTTTAATATTTTGGATATGAAGAGTGCCAATGCTAGACCCGTACCAAAGACCTCATCCTGTTGCAAACAGGTCGTCGCAAAGTAGAGGTCGCAAAAGAGATGCTTGACAATGTAGCTGAGGACCTGATATTCTTCAAACACATAGACGTGGATTTATCAATATGACGTCAACAATATAGCGAATGGCGCTCCAAAACTGACCCAAAAACGAAAAAAAAAACCAAAATTCTCGGAAGGCACTGACGGTCATCCCAGCCGAGGCTCTTAACAAGCTTATAGAAAATTAGATTACGCGTTAGCATGGTTGTATTAGCTCAGGAACGATAATAAAAAACTTCTTCGGAGATTGCAACGTTGCCAAATTTGACGAAGATATATCGTCAATGTGAAATGTTTCCATACAAGCACTTTATTGCGATCGTTCAGTTTATAAGGCAGCTACATATATGCCAAATTTGGTAAAAAAAAGTCAAAGACTTCCATATAAGCACAATATAAACGTTAGGTGTATAAAAACTTCATGCAACAAGATGCACTTTTATTTATAAAAATAAGAAACAATTCACACAGAGCTAATCTCAATATTTAACTTTCTTATTGCTACAAGTATAGTGTGATCAGGTGAAGAATTGACGCTGGTGCCCTTCAAAGACAAATGAGTGCCGTAATTGTTTTGCTTGGTAATTTCTTATGAGCTAAGTACATACCATGTTTGTATGTCTCACTTTCATTTCAGACATAGTGAAATAATAAAGAAACGAAAAAAAAGTTGGATATTCTTAGAAGTGCTTGGTTTTACTTTTTACCACATATGTTAGCTTCGGTTTATATTTTTAAATGCATTTTCATTATTTTATATACATTATACACACTTATATTCTCATATATACAGATCTACTTTTTGCGTTGCTGATAAGATTTTATTTCCTATTTTCGTGACCGCATTTAACCGCTCATTTATTTGCTATTTATTTTCCTTTTTTTTTGTTTTCGTTTTCGTTTTTATTCTGTCTTGTTGGCTTGGTAACTATTTATTTATTCATTTTCTACTTTATTGTGTTGAGTTGCATTTGTTGACAGCAGACACATTGGCGGCAATTATTGTGCTTTGCAACGCGGAGGGAGTTACCAAACATTATATGGTATATTAGTTTTTATATATATACATATATTAATATGGTATATATGTATATGGTATATATGTATATATTTCTGTATACTTAATCATCTACGTTCATTTAACGAAATTATTGTATTTTTCTGCATTCTTATGACTTCTCCAATTTTGTATTATCTGCATTTGTTTATTTTGTAGGCCGCCTCTGTGTTGTGAAAAATGATAACTCGAGATAGTGATGATGGTTTGCATGAATTGTGGGTGTAATTACAAAAAATTGTTACTCCATATTTTTCGCATAAAAAATTATAAACTAATATAATAATTAAATAAGAAAATATTTTAATTTAAGATTTAAAGTAGTAATATTAGAATTAACAAAATTTTAAATACTTTAATTTCTTTTAAATTAAATTATAAATATTTTTTGCGAAATGAGCTGAAAAATTTCAAATTCAATATTTTTGAGCATAGAAAATTATAAATTACTTATAATAAATATATATTTTGATATAAATTTTATAGTAGTAATTTTAAAATTAAAGGAACCAAAAATATTAAGTATTGAATTTATTGAAAAAATATGAAAAATTTAATATTATTCAATATTATTAGGCATACAAATTATAAAATAATAACTTAATTAATTAATAAAAAAAAATAATGACTTCCTTTAGACCATATTTGGCCTATTAATGCTTCTCGAACAGATGTACAAATATAGTCCTAGTAAAAAGAGGTTACACATCCTTAACTAAAACCATATAATTTTGGGAAAATAGAATCAAATACCTTTAATGACTTTAAAGTCTATTAACATGTATGTATATGTATTACATTCGTTTGCATTCAACATTCAATGTTGCTCATACGCCCCGGCAATCGCATACATATTATATTTATTTTGCTAAGCTTGCTGACGCTTTAAATTTCATAAATATTTATAATGAAGCACTCAACACATGCAATTAGTTAAGTGGAAAGATGTGTTTTCATGGAATAAAAATCGATTACATAATCAAATATTGCACAGAATAATTATTATATCCGCATAGCAAACGAATACGAGATCCAGTTTAAACGCTATCCAGTTTTAATTGCTGCGCATGCTTGAGTATTTGACTGGATTTTCTTTAGCGCCAATAAATATCAGCAAACAAAATTATACATATGTGTGTATATATAATGAAAATAATAACAAAACAGCTGATTGGCGCAGTTTGCGCCTATGCGTGGGTAACGTCAAAAAGAGTCCAAGTGGCGTGGAAAGCGAACCGGTTAAGTAGGATGACAATGTTGTTGTCGTACACGCACAAAATTGCAAAAAAATAATTAAAAATAAAAATAAAATAAAAACGAATATAAAATGTTCTTAATGCGATCAGCATTAGCGATAGATCGATTTTGTCTACTAACCAGATTATGCGAAGGCATAGCCCCTATATGTTTCGCACACACACTTTCGTATTGTATGTGAGCATACGCTTGGATAACTAATGAAAGCAATGTTGCGACGATTCGGTAAGCATATTATTGATTTTATTTTGTCTGCCTGTAAGTCACATTTGCGCATACAAACACACGTACAATACACAGATAGGTGCAGAGAAGGCACAGCGCCACGCACTGATTGCTTGGCTAGATGACAGATAAAAAGTGTTTCGAAAAATTCGCATTGAAAGGGAAGCGTAGACACGCTGAGAAAGGGAAGCGACATGGACAGAGAATCGATTAATTAAAATGATACAGCAACAACAAAAGTGTTTTTAATTTTTTATTTTTTATTTTGAATTTCCGATTTTTTAGTTTCGTTTTCGCTATTGTCAACAGTATTTGAAGCGGTTACTTATTATGCTTTGAATTGGTTACAAGACTCAAAGGTTCAATGTGGCATATAATGCTACGAACTTTTGTAGTTTTCTGGCGCTTTGTCGAAGACTACTGAAGCTGAAGTTCAAACAAACAAAACAAGCTGCCCCCAAACCCTTTCGCGCAAAAATGATGTCAGCGTTGAACATGTTTGTGCTGAAATGTTATTTTTTAAGCGCAATTTGTGTTTTTTTTTTTGTTTTTTTTTTTGTTTGCCTAAGAAATTGTGTTCATGAATTATTCGATTTTTAACGAACTAAAAGTTAATTGGAAAGAAATTAATTTGCATGATTTACACTGCGTAGATAAGCGAAAAATTTGTTTATGAAATTAGCTAAAGCGCAGAAGCTGATTGCTGACAAAAAATAAATAAATATAAAACACAAGAAACGAGAAAAAAAAAATTTATAAAAATAATTTAATAACTGAACAAACGGAAAAAATTAAAAATCGTATTAAATTAACAATTAAAAAATCGAATATTTCAAAAATTTAGCAAACCAGAAAGGCAACTCATCACCAGCGGCTGCATTTGAGCACGCGCAACAGCGGTTTAAGCAACTAAATAACTTTTAAATTTGATATATAACTATTCTATAGCTCAAAACTACATAGATATTATATTATATGCATGCTTATATAATATAATATATCTATTCATTTATTGCTTTGGCATTACATGTTTTTTATGCGAATTTTAAAATTTCGTTATTTTAGTTATGAAGAAAGCCCGTTGTTTTGAAAATAATACTTGAGTCATGCATTTGTCACATCTCAGCGACTAATTTAAGCACAGCATAGACAATAAACAAATTCTGACGCCTCGCTTCTAGGTGCTTCTAAAAAATAAAAAAAAATAAAATCGCTTGACTCACTAGCGA